TGGTTTCTGCAGGTTTAGTGCTGATGCATCCAATATTGCACATAATTATGTAGAATGCTTCACAGCATCCATTACATTGATAAAGCAGCTCTATTGACTATGAACATTCCATAGAGAAGCGTGTCTGCAGCTCCATCATTTCAGCAAGATCAAATATTAGAATGTACTTCTAAAGCATAATAAATCCTTTATTACAAAAGACGAATCCTAACAAGGCCCCCTTACAGTGACATGCGTTTAAAATCATTTGCGTTTATAAATGTCCTATAAAAGAATAAAAATCACATGGTATTTATAGTAAAGAGGGCAACTAGTGGGTAACAATCCTTAAATAATCATTTACTTATATATTATTCCCTTTCTTATTTTTCAGTCCTGGGTATAACTCCTGCAAAATAAAATCACATGGTGCCTTTACCTGCATTTGGTTTAGATGCATTTAGAGAAGATAGATTCTGTGCGTCCAGGGGCAGATTAGTCACCACGAAAAAGTCTTGACACATGTAAAGTAACTTAAAAAAAAATTCAGAATTCAACCTACGAAGGATAGAGTATTTAACAGTAGCCACTGCACCAAACTCACTCCCGTGATGGACTACAATCTCACGTTTAGTTTAAAAATTTGTATTGGGATTGTAGTCCATCCCGGGAGTGAGCTTGGAGCGTAGCAACTTTACAACACACTGGGACCATGGGGAATAAAAGTAGTCACCCTCCAGAAGGAAGGACAGTGTCAGCACCAATTCAGAGATGATTTGACGATCTGCAGCCGATTGATGCACAAATAAGATACATTTTTGTTAGTCGTTAAGGTGTCTGAATGTATTTAAGATACAACTCCTGAGTTTAGTTTCACTTTAAAGACTAGTCCTGGTAGCTCTACAAGTAAAGTCCCAAAGACTGGGAATCCTGAACCCTTACTTCATGATCCACAGAGCCAGGACATATAGATCCTGAACAGCTGGAGTCCAAGGTTGACTAAGCCACTTGCTGCTGTCAAGGGGCATAAAACATCATCCAGAGAAGATCCTGTAGCAGCTATGGGGCCCAGAGCAGGTGTCCCAAAGGCCCTTTGACTTAATTAGATGTAGTCAAGCAGCAAGAGCATTTGGGGAATATACGGTAGGACACAATGTCTTCTGCCACACTGCTTTGAAAGCAAATTTGCAATTGCTCAAGCACCTTTAATACACCTTTCATTGCTTTTTGGTACCAAGCCATATAGTCTCACCACTTGTCCGATGGCAGCACAAAGTCTACATCTTTCCTGCTGCAATCTCCTCAATGGAACAGGTAAAAAAGGTCATGTCACAAGGCAAAAATGGCCCATCTCAAAAGCCTGCTAAGGAAGCAGTCAACCCTCAAACTGCACAACAGTTTCAGCACAGTTTCAACCAAACCTATTCAGCTTCACTGCCCCGGATCTAATATGTGGCCAGAGAATGGCAGCTTCTGTTTAGTTCTGTTCAAGATGCTCTTAAAAAAAATAAAAATCAAATTCAGCAGTACGAGACCTAGTAATGGTCATGGTACGTGGGTGGTTTTATAGATCTTACCCAGTGCTGTACAGTGAGGACTTGCATTAACATTATACTTTAATACAAAAAAAAAAAAAAACCCGAAGGATAAAAGTCTGCTTCCAGTCTAAATCACAGGTATTGTGATCGAACAAGGGTGCATTAAAGATACTTGGCCGTTAAAATAAAAAGCTCCAAAAACACGTTTCCCCACACAGTCTATCTGCACTGTATTAAAAAGAATCAGCCACCTGCAGGAGTGTCAGATTTCTGGTGGTCCCCCGCTGTGCTCTGTGGTTCCTCCCATTAGCCTCTAGGTTACAGTAGTGGCAGAGGGGTCTGTGCATTAAGCCACTGAGCACACTCCTGGAAGTATCAGTTTCTGAAGAGTGCCAAAACAGTGCAGATGGGAGGCAGGATAGGAAATTGTTTACCATCTTTTGTGCAGGAAAAAGGGGTTTAATATTTGTTACTAGGGGTGCACAGATACCAGTTTTTCGGTATCGAGTACCAATATTTTTTTTCCGGTACTTGCCAATACCGAATATCCGAAGTTCCATTAAGGAAGCAGGGCAACATGTAATGACTCACCGCCCGGCTTCCTGAATATCTGGGAAGCTAGCACCATGCTCCCTCTTCCCTAGGTGATGAAGCATGGAGCTGGCTTTCTGGCCAATCAGGAGGCTGGGGGGCAAGTAATGACTCACCGCCCGGCTTCTGGATTGGTCGGGAAGTCAGCTCCATGCTCCCTGGTGACGAGCATGGAGCCGGCTTCCCAACCAATCAGGAAGCCGGCGGTGTGTAATGACTCTCCTCCCCCGCTTCCCGATACTGGAAGTTCCGGTATTGGAGTAAGCATTGGGAGTATTTGTAAGCATCGAGAGTACCCCATCTACTGAGTATTTGGGCGAGTACTCAAATACACGGTATCGGCATCGATATTAGTATCGGAACATCCCTATTTGTTACCAAGTCTTTTCGTACAATTGGTAACCTGCAAAGTATTAAAGGGCATCTATGGCCAAAAAAACTCATAACTATGTATTTTCATACTGAATTTCCATAAGTTGTATCCCACTTATAATAACCATATTTATCTAGACGTTTGTAAACTTGCTTATTAAAAATGCCCAGAGGATGGACTTCCTCAATGCAGACACAATTTCACTCAGCCCTGTGAGTTTGCACTTCCTTGTGTCACAACTCACAGAGCCTGCCTTCTGAACTACAACTCACATCTGAACAATGTAACATCATTGCTTGCTGGAAGCAATGCATGATGGGATATGTAGTGTTGGGAAATGGAGATTGCATCACATCAAGCAGCAGGAAAAGACAAAGCACACTGGGGATCCAGGAAGGTGTTGGAAGTGATGGGCAGATGGAAGGCAGCACTCACTACATGAAGGATTCTCAAGTAAGCTTTGATTGTAATATCAGAAACAACTCTACTATGTATTCCTATTACAATGCTGATGTGATAAACAGGAGAGGATATGCCGGGACTTTAGATATTGCCTCTGCCTGCCGCAGTTAAGGAACGTTTAACATCGCACAAACAAGGAGGAGCCCCTGTATGGCAGTTTCTCAGCCGAGATGCTGCCTATGAAATACTTTCATTCACACGTAATCGCATACCACACGTCAACCTCCTACATGTCCTGAGCAGAGATCACTCCGCTATGGAACATATATTTCACATGTATAACAGAACGATTCAACACGTCACATCATAATCATCCGTACACAGAAGAGCAGAAGGTGAACACATGACTCAGAATGCCACAGCGGATGATCACGTTATCCGCGCAGCGAACTGTCCGCGTTGCTTGCGGTAACCAATCGGATTCCTTTCAGCCCGCACAGCGCCGGGAGGACGATACCCAAATCCTACTGGCTGCTCAGTCCTTCGGCTTTTCATCCTGCCGCCGTATGATAAATGAAGACGAGCTCTCAGTATGTCCTTAGATTTCATACTGGAGAAATTGCGAACGAGATGAAGATTGAGCGGTCTGCTTCCGAGAGGAAAGTGGACCCAGAGGAGCTGCGAGTTTAACAATCAGACGCAGTCATAAAAAGCTGTATGTCAATACGGGGAGGAGGGCTGGATTGCCGGAGAACCTGGATGTGCCGAGGAATAATAATGAGCAACTGCTCGGTCACCAGGAGGTTCCGCAGCAGCTGACAATTGCCAAGCTCACTACACACATTGCAATCTGAAGGTTAAATCTAAAAGGCGATTTGTACAAACAAGTATGTAGTACAAGAGCATGCCTGATTGGCTGCAAATGGATGGGTAGTTCAGATAGGTCCTCATATTACATAGTTTAGGGAAATCTAAAGTTGATTGGACAGAGATTGTAATCTGTATGGTTAGATTTTGATCTACAGTTCAAATGGATACAGGCAGGGGCATAACCACAGATCATGGGGCACCATAGGAAAAAACATTTGTGGGGTCCCCCAGCAACCTCCCTACTGTCAATGATATTAAAGTCAGGTAGCAGGAGAGCTGCCTGCATAGTCCCCCAATCCCCCACCCTGTACATCTGATGTCAGCTCTTCATGATTAGCTTTGGCAGGGGCTGCTATGGCTATTGTTGCACCACCACTGGATGCGTGTGCGCGTGTGTGTTGGATTGCTGAGAGCAAGGTTAGGCCACTTATAAGGCAAATGGGGCTTCAACTGTGGTCCCTGCCAATACCAAAGGGCCACAGTATGGCCACCAGGGGTTTAGGTGGGCCCTTGTACTGCACAACTGTAAGGGCCTGTCACACCTGTTTGCTGAGGTAACACACTAATGCACTTGCGCCCCACAATGTACCACAGCTATTCATTTTGAATAGGAACACAAAACACACCAACAACAATGAACCAGAGTGCACGTGCATTGTAACACATCATAGCGCACAGATATGAATAATCAGGGCTTTGCGTTAACAATTGTGCATGCGGCATCTTTGGTGCATTGTGGCCCTTTCATAATGAATGGGCTTCTTAACACAGCAAAGAAACTGCACAGTTTTACTCAATGCACGAATCGCTCATATCTGCGCTGACAATTAAAATGAGGCGCAATGCATCACATGCGTGTATTCCTGTGCATGCAAGTATAATAGTGCGTTACCGCAGCACACCGGTGCAAACGGGCCATAAAATGTTCACATTATAGATCTCAGACATACCAGCTGTTGCAGAAGCTCTTGGTGACCCATGAGCTGTACAATCAGCTCTAGGCAGGCTGGAGCAATTCAGCAGACCTAGAACTACAAGTCCCAGGATACCCAGGTACATTACTGCCCTGTTGCCTGGAGGGTCTTAAAGTGCCCTTGAATGAATGAAGCTCTGAACAGCACTACCATAGCAGATTATAGTAACGTTCACTTTAACCCGCCCCGCCTCCAACCAATATAACACAACATCACGATCCCACAGCCAAAAATGACAAGGCACTTTCCATAGATGGTAAAACATTTCCTTACCAGATGTATCCCATAGACTCAGCTCTATTCTCTGCGTGTCGATTTCAAAACTGGCCGTGTAATTCTCAAATACAGTGGGCACGTAATTCTGGAAGGGAAATAAAAAGGGGGATTATGTCACTTGTCATCACCTTACCCAACCAATCTGAAAGTAAACACCAACATGGCTAGAGATCAGATCAAACGCTATCGTTAATCGCAACGGTGATATAATATGCAATTATGCCGGAGGGAGAGGGAGCATTATAAATTATTTATTGACTTACTCAGCGGACCGCGATACTCTGATTTTTAGGTTGCCCTCCCAGCTGTCCGAGTGTCATTGTTCTGGGAACCCCCCCTCCCCTTATTTTTAATTTAAAATTGTTCTCACTGCCAAATTTTTCAAGGAGGGAAATGTATGAAAAGACCTTGGTGGGTCTTGTTACCAAAGGAGGCAAGACCCAAGAGACTGTACAAGGCATAGCCCCTCAAAATGTCTGGGGTGTCACTAGGTAAGGCAAATGTATGAAGAGACCTTGGAGGGTTCCCAAAGGAGACAAAAACCAAGAGGCTCTACAGGGTATAACCCCCCAAAAAATATCTGGGGTGTCACTAGGCAAGGCAAATGTATGAAGAGATCTTGGAGCCTTGTCCCCAAAAAGGAGGAAAAACCTAAAAGACTCTACAGGGCATAACCCCCTAGAAAATGTCTGGGGTGTCACTAGGTAAGTGAAATGTATGAAAAGACCTTGGAGGGTCCCCTTTTTCCCAAAAGGGAGGCAAGACGCAAGAGACTCTACAGGGCATAACCCCCAAAAATTGTCACTAGGTGTGCAGTATGTACTCAGCAAGCATCCACAGCAATTTAATAACTGATACAGGAAATGTTAAATAACAATAAGTGACACTGATGTAACCCCCCCACCCCTCCCTTGTATTTCATATGAACAGATTCAGGAAATGATAAATAACAATAAGTGACACTGATGTAAAGCTGGCCCACAGAGCTTGCAATCTACCAATGTCCCAGCTAACAAAAATGACAGGAGAGCATGGGGGGGTGAAATATTAATCCCCTCCAGGGACTTACCTCTGGGAAGGAATCCTTGGCAAATACATGCAATAGAGCAGTTTTGCCACACTGGCTGTCTCCCACCACCACGATTTTACACTTGACGTTCTGGTTGGGATCCATCATTGATTTGCTGGCCAGTTTCTGGCTGGTCCTTCTCTCCTTCATTGAGGTGAACTTATTCCTCGTCGTCCTGGTGCAGCAGAAGTTGTGCGAAGAGGAGATGAATGTGCTGAAAAGCGGATCGCTCTGTGCGATAGTTCCCCTGTAGGTCCCCCCGGGCTGCAGCAATCGCTGCTAGATCCACGCAGCTGCCGAGCCGTGCCGATCCTTCATCCAACACAGAGGTGACTGAGCTTTGTTCACCACTCCTTACTGGTTTTATGTGTCGGCTCAGACCCACCCTATTCCCTTCTACGGAGCCAGCCCGCGCTGCAGCCTCCTACTGCCGCCTGCCTTGTATTCGGAGCGCCATCTACAGGCCGCCGGACAAAGTGCAGCGCGTCCTGTACGATCTGTTCCATGGAGAGAATTGTTACTTAGCAAGAACATTCCATCCATGAAGGCCACACGTGCTTCTATTATTTCATTCCGTTCCATCTGGACGTACAGGCTTCAATTTAATTCACACAGCATACCTTCTGGCTAGGTTCACACTTAGGCGATTCAGATGCAGAGCTGTTTTCGTGCAGTTTGCGCACGTTTTCGATCGCACGACTGTTCATTGTTGCGCGTTTTTTGATGCATAGAGATGTCTATGTGACCCAAACCGGGCGACAACCGCCCGAAAATAGCTCCTGCACAAACCGCAAAGTGGTGAGCATCCTCCATTGATTTCAATGCAAATCGCCTGGGTGTGCACCGACCCTCAAGGCCCGTTCATACTGCTATGGTGAGTTTTTCGCAGGGCTCCTAACGCACCTTCTGCCCGCAATATGCTTCCAATATGGAAAAAGGTAGTGCATGCAAGGGACAGCATAGTCTCCGGCAGCTTTCCATCTACCAGCTTGGAGAAGAGAGGAAGGCCTCATTCACAGCAAGACGTCATCGCTTTTGTGTGTTTGTACACACGTTTTCTGCAAGCTGTTTTTGCACATTTATGTGCGTGCCAAAACTAACGCACATGAACATGCGCTTTTTGCCTGGCAGCTTGAGAGACATTGCGATCAATGGGTACTCATTGGTCACCAAGGTCAGGCGACTGCGCTGACCAATAAGTGCTCACCATGAGCAAACAAAATGATAAATACAGTGCGCAGGGCTGTGCTGTCGGAGTACAGGTAGTATACTGGCAACCACGGAGGGGAAGGAGCGTTCAGCCAAAGGTAAGTATAGCAGTGGGGAGTTTGGGGGGGGGGGGG